AACAGTGTCGATAACCTCTTTAAGAAACTTGGTGGGGATAAAATCAAGGCTGCAAGTAGCTGGCTTCATTTGTGATATGAGTTTTGTTAAAAAGGGCAGTGAAACCGGTTCAAAGCAGCTAAAATAACTATGGATGTCCCTGCTGGTCTGTAAAATTCGGTCCGGGAGGGTGATGTTTTGCCTGATATCATGAACTCTATTTCTAAAATAATTTAAGAAGTCTTCACATCTTTCTTGAGAAGCATCGATGGAAGGAGGGGAGGAGGGGGAGGTTACTGACTCTATAACTTTAAATAAAATTCTGGGGTTGGAGTGATGAGCTAAAATTAATTTAGAAAAGAATGAAGTTCTTGCTTCTTTAACTGCTTTTTGATCATTTATCATGGCATCTTTCCAGGTCTGATAAAACACGTGTAAGCTTTTCTTTTTCCTTTTTTTTTTCATTTCTCCTGCAGTCTCTTTTTATTGATTATTAGCCAGGGTTGCAGTACTCTACTGTTTTAAAACCAAGATGTTCAAAAGAAGTAAAACTACCATGTACAACAGGCGTGCAATTAAAATCTTTTCTGTAAATGACAGCAACCCCCCCTCCCCTGCCTGACAACTGGGGTTGGTGGAGGTGTGTAAAATCAGGGGGGAATAGCCTTCAATAGTAGTGATATACTATATGATAGGATATATATAGTGATGGGAATTCTTTCATTATTTATTTAAGATAGTTACTTAAAAAATGCATAAATTGTTACTCTTTTCAAAACTAATATTACTTTACTTATTACTCCCTGCCAACAGTATTTAGTTACATAACTAATTATATTACTTTTCTGCTACTCCCCACAAAATTGGTAATTGGTGTCCAGTCACCCCAGAATTCAGAGTTAATTAAAAGCTGTATGGGCATGTGTGTGACATAATGTAATAACATGAGATTGACCCCATTCCCTTATCAAGATCTATAGAGCCCAGAGGGTTCATACAGCATTTGTTATCGTGAAAAAAGTTTGATTATTTTAAAAATAGCCATATTAAAAAAATTCAAAACTAAAATCCTTGATAATGTTACTATAATCTAATTACAATTTTTTCCAAATGTAATCTGCGAATCACTAGATCCTAGAAAAATGTTATGGGGTTATTTTATTGCCAACACAAATTGAATATGAATTTAAAGTTAGTTTAATTAATTAATTTAGTTTTTAAAATGTTCAAACTAAATATAGTATGCGATATTCAGCCTGCTGTACACAATACTGAACTGAGCAAGACTGATCTGTAAACAAATACAAGTATACTTGGGAACTGCAGTTTTTCTCTATAAAAAGCACTGTAACATTTACATCTCTGAACTGATTTCCCTTGTACTAGTTTGAAGTGGCCAATATATATGTCTATGGAGACTACACAGCTACCCTCATGGCCTACATGCTCAGAAAAAGCCTTGCGGGTCGTAGTAGTCCCCTGGATGAGTGCCTCTGAATTTGAAAATTTAAATAAGTCTCACAAGTTGAAAGCAATGACTTCAATTCAACATTAGATTAGATTTAATTTCAATAAAGTATCAAATTTTGTACACAATATTAACTTTTGAACATTTCAAACTATTAAATTCAGATTCAATTTGTGTTGGCACTAAAATAACTCCATACAATTTCCCCATTTCTCCCTAGTGATATTAAGCCATAAGATGATTTCATCTTGAATGAGCAAGGTTTCAAGGTATCTGCTTCTTTAAATCACTCTACCACTCTAATGCGTCATGTTTTTACTACTACTTGTAGTTATTTGTTCCATTACCCACTATCAGATTGCATAGGCCAGATCAGCGGTTCTTCTTCTTTCTTAAAACACTGGGTCTAAATGTGTTTTCTAATTTTCTGGTCTCATGCCTCCCACAGCTGTGTTAAGTGGTTGGGAAATAATAGAACTACCTTCACAAACTTCAAATGAAATTAAAGCTGCAAGCAGCGTTGGGCGGGACCTCGCCATCTCCCCACCTCGGGGCCTGCAGCCACGCCAAACCACGCACCGTGCATCGCCCAATTTGTGCCCTCATTTCTGCCGTGAAGCCGAGGGAGACCCGCTCGTACGATTCGTCATGTGTAGCGTTTCAGAACGTCAGAAGAATTCTGTGGTTCAGTCAGTGAGACTCCTTCACTGCGAAACTTGGAAATTCTGCGCAACGCCATGGCGCTGTGAAGAGCTAAACTATTCACTGCGAAGCCTGGAAATTCAGTGCCAGGCCAGGGACATGCCGTTTGACGCACGGTAAATAGTTAATTAACTTATGATCACCAATGTGTCTAGATTGCAGTGATCGAATTTGAAGTATATCCGAAAAAAATCAGTAAAAGTTGGGCGTTGTTAAGGAACAGAGCCCTGAAATGCCTGAATGGACACAGTTTGACATTCGATCAACTGGCCCAAAATTTGACCGGGCACGCCACTGGACACGCCCTTCAAACGTACATGTTCACGAAAATAGCACAATTTTAATTTACAAACATATTTGTTTGACGTTTACTTGACTATGATTTTGAAGGCAGATCGCCGATAAAGTTCTCCTAGGAGGGGAGTTTCGTTCAAATTCACGCAAAAAATTAATGCAAAACAACGCAAAAGCCGAAATGCATCACAGTTTGACATGTTGATTTAACTGGCCAATTTGACAGGACCCCATGGACACGCCTACAACTTACAGTGCACAAGTATCATAACTTTTAATCAGGCAATGTTTTTGACCCTGTACTGACCAATTTGAAGTAGTATCTGTATAAATGCATAGGAGGTCAATTTGTTAAAATCAACACGAAAATCACTAGAAAATTGACAAAAGAAATTCCAAATGGCTGACTTTGATGCACGCCACGGACAGCGCCATTTACTGTAGCATGCAGTAATAGCCGCAAATGTTTAGATCCAGCAACAGTACGTTTGACGTAAAGGAGAACAAGTTTTGAGAGCAGATCCCGATTGAATTTCCCTAGGAGGAGTTCGATCAATACAGTGCTGAAAGAGTTCGGCCGAAAGCTGAAAATCAAAATAAGAATAGACCGGACCTCCCGTGGGGTTTGGGGTTTATGGGTCCTTAAGAGCCTGTTTTTGTACGTCTCGGCACACTACACGTGCCTATCTGGTTTTATACATATCGGTGAAACGTGGCGCCATGTGGAGGGCTGCTTTTAAAAATCCTATAGGCGGCGCGCTAAACAAACACGACAAACATGATTTTTGGTATGTGAGCTATAGCACGCAGTCTATACGTGGCTTCTGTGAGATTATCATTATTCATTTAACTATTTATGGTCTCCGGCACAGGGGATTTACCATTGGCCACCAGAGCGGCCACCTAGTTGCGGGATTGTGACACATTTTTTAGCCAGCCTCGAGGGAGCCATGGCAATCATCCGTAACAAGTTTCGCTTTAATCACAGTTAAATGCCAATGCGGAGAATATAACATCATAATCTTTAAAGAGCGCCAGCCTTGTGACCGATGTCTGAAAGTTGAGGCACGATGGCCTAAGGAAGACATGTGGAAACTGGATAGACCAAAGCTTGGTGTCCTCCAATCGACATACCCATCTGTGGAAGAATGCTCCATTTCCCTGTTTAGATTATATGTGCTTATTTTTTGAAATATCAAAATTCCTTCAAATTGTTTTTTTTTCCAGGACGTTCCCCGGATACCACGGTGAAAAATTTTGTGCGAATCGGACCAAAGCGTGCAGGACGGAAACACGAAAAGGGAACAATGTGGATATAAGGTTGCATGAGAGTGTCGACCAACGGTATGCAGGAAGGTTATAGCCTAAACGCACTTTTTATGATAGGTAGCGCCCATCCTAGTGGCCGACCAAGAAGAGTGCAGAGGAGATATCCATTTTTTACTAGGGGCGAATATCGAATTTTTCACCAGGCCTGACAACTTTGCCAAATAAAATTGAGTTTTCGTATATGTTCAGGGGGGCAAAAATGCAGTCGAAGGGGGCTAAAAATAATAATAATAATAAGAAGAATAGGTAAGAAATCAAGCAAAAACAATAGGGACCTCCAGCGGTCGCTAGCTCGGTTCCTAATAATAGGTAAGAATTCTAGCA